CAGCCCCGGACATCGAGAACCACCAACGCATCGGCAGCCGGGGGCCCCATCCACCAGCAGGGAGTGTGGTGGGGGGCAATAGAGCCTGAGATGTTATTCCAGGTGGAGTCTAAGACCCAACCTGACACCTGCGTATAGACAAACAGGCGCACACATACACAAGCATACGTTCCCACCCTCATGCACACATAATCAAATATTCACCCATTCGCCCATCATAAAGACACACAGAAATGAACGCCGTACACACATTCACACTCCCCATATATACTCTATACTCCGAGACATAATTGATTTTTAAAGAAATTAATCTACAAAAAACAATTTCTTTTCTGAAAGGGAATGGGCTTAATTTTTATACTATTTACCAACAGCGGTAGGTTTATATTCAGTTTACTCTTTAATACTCTGTCTAGTGCCTGACATTACAGAGACAGATCAGCTGTCAGATATGAGAAGGAGAGTTCCTACCAGGTCTGGATGTGAGCTTCACCTCCCCCGTATCCAGCAGCTGACATCGCCATTCCGTCTGGTCCTTCTCTGTCCCCGGATGGTTAATCGGCAGAGTGGAGATACAGCGGTCTGGGTGTGTCTGGGTGCTGGGATCTCTCTGCCACGGGGGGTCTGTGTCACTAACCCACCGCAGAGTGAGAGATGGGGGACACCGTCCAGGACCTTCATAGGTGTGCAGGGTCACGGTGCCGCCAGACTGCGACTTTCTCTCTGTAAGAACACAGAAAGCAAACATTCCACCTCATGTCACTTTCTTTATCTCCTCTTTCTTTCTAGGTCTTAAAATGACAGCGGATAAAATGTACAGATGCGCTACAGCTGTAAGCATCGCTGTTTAACCTGAGATTACGGCCGTGATGCTGACGGACTATACATCCATCCGGCCATTATCCATAACTGTGGATCTAACCAAGTCGTGTCGTTTGTCTCGTCGAAGGAAACTAGAGTTTCTCTGCAGGAAACCAATATAACCAGAGAGAACATGCAGACATAAAAGCTTAATTACTGCATGAAAAGCTTAATGTATAAATATATAAAAATGTTAAACAACTGGTCGTGTTTATGAAAAATTTCAAGCGCAATATTATTTCATAAGGGAAACACTCACCGGTAAGAACAGACAGGAAAGCAGCAGCATCATTTCCGTGTTGCTGTCCATTGATATACTGCCGACGTATATACGATCCAGTGTCTTCAGCGCTGACATTATTAATGTGTAGAGAGCAGTTAGCCATCACATTTAGTCTCCTGTGTTTCTGTGAGTTTGTGACCTTCACATCACCGAACAGTTCAACAGTTGTACTGCTTGACCTGTCATTATAGTTCCACACAGTTGAGGAGCAGTTAGGATAAAGTACATTTTTACACGGCAGAGTGACATCATCTCCCTCTGTGACGTATGAAGCAGGGGATTCCCCACCGGCACCTGGGAGAGAAACATGAAAACTCACTGAAACAGCAAACGGTTTAGTCACATAAATCATTACATATTTTTGGGGGGTGGGGGCTGATTATCTCGTAAAGTAAATACCTCGGAGTAGCTGGGGAATAATTATGATCTGTCATAACTATACTTGTTTAAAGTGTCTGTTATAAGGCTATTGTGAGGTGATTACGGTGTGATTTTGAACGCGGACAAATCCCCCCCCCTGCGTAAAGTCGCAGTAAAGTTACCCTCATATTCCATATTCGGGTGGACTCAGGGGACGATGCAGATTCCTTGTATTTTTGACGACACACCCTTTGGGTTTTCA